AGGTCATGACCTCAGGGTCCTAAGATTGAGCCCTGCATTGGGCTCTGAGCTCAGCAGGGAGTCTGCTTAAGATTCTCTCCCTCTCCCTCTGCCCTTCCCCACCACTCTCTCTCTCTCTCTCAAATAAATAAATCTTAAAAGAAAAAAAAAAAAGAACTATATCCTTGCAGACATCACTGAGCTGCGAAGAACCTGTTTTCCCCTGGATTTCTCATCCATGATCATCAGTGTCCTTAAGATTTAAGCTGTTTGGAGTTGGGTTTTCTTTTCTTTTCTTTTCTTTTCTTTTTAAGATTTTATTTATTTATTTGAGAGAGAGCACAAGAGGTGGGGAGGGGCAGAGGGAGAAACGGACTCCCCACTGAGCAAGGAGCCCCATGTGGGGCTTGATCCCAGGACCCTGAGATCATGACCTGAGCCGAAGGCAGGCGCTTAACCGACTGAGTCACCCGGGGCGCCCCTGGACTTGGGTTTTCTGTTTCCTGCAGCCTAAAGAGTTATTACTGAAAATGGCTCACAGCGCTGCTTGGGGGTTAAATGAGGTCGTGTACGTGAAGTCCTTAGCACAGTGCCTCATGCCCAGCAGGTGCCCAGAAATGCCGGCCTTGTCCTTAGTGCTGCTCCCCTCTGCCTCCGCCCTGGGGTGAGTCACTGTGGGGGGTGAGCTGGAGGAGCGGGGCCAGTGGGGAGTATCGATCGGTGTCTCTGTCTGTAGCCGTAGCGTTGTCTCAAGAGCTTTCTCGCAAGGAAGTGGCTTCTATGGTTGGGGGGCTGGCTCAGCCAGGGTGAAATCCAGAGGAGGGGGAGGTCACAGGCAGGCTGGGCACAGGCAGAACCCCTTCTCTTTTTCAGGGGAGTCCTCAGTCTTGCTTTAAAGGCCTTTCAAATGACAAAATCGGGCCCACCCAGATTATCCAGGATACTCCCCCTCACTGCAAGTCAGCTGATTATGGACTTAAATAACATTTGCAAAATGCCTTCACAGCAAGTGTAGATTCATGTTTGGACAACTTGAGGCTGTCACTGAGTGACACATTGAGGTGACACATCAGAAGACCATCACCATGTCTCCCCCCACACACACACCTCCCCCCATAACCCCCGGCTCAGCTTTCTCTAGAATGGATGGACAGTGTCACTTGCGTTTGCTTCTCTTTCTGCTTTCAGCCACCCAAGCCACTCAGGCACTCTGTGAGCTTTGGGAAGCTGCAGGGCGGACAGGACACCCAGAGCCTGGCCAGGGCCCGCTGAGGGGCGGCGGCTGCCAGGCAGCCGGCCAGGCCCCGGAGCCCGCCCTGGAGGGCCTGGGGGCTTGAGCACCATGCTTCCTTTGCTGCGTGGCGTTTCCTGAGCGAAGCCTCCTCGCAGGAAAAGGAGACTCGCATGTGAAAACAAGAGAACAACAGTAGGAAGAAGAGCTTGAGAGGGGGGCCGTGGAGGGCGAGCTGAAAATAAATCATGAAGAGGGGAGTGTGGGCCAGTCCTCAGGGGCCTCCAGGCCTGGGAAGTGCTCTCCATGGCCCCTCATCTCTGGCTCCCACTTGCCTTTACTGGGGTGGGGGGCAGGTGCAAGGGGACCCATTGGTCTCCAGAGGCGTCTGCCAGCCTGGCTGCTAATTTCATTCTGTGATTCATCGGACAGACGCATTACTGAGCCTGCTGTTGCCCTGGGTGTGAGAGATACTGCACTTAGCAGCAGAACAGCCCTGACCTCATGGAATTTACCTTCCCCTGGGGGACGCAGACATGAATGAAGTCATCACAAAAATACATTAAGGACGGAAAAGGCCAGGGGCTGTGAGAGATGGCAGGGGCGCAGACTTGATGGGGCTGAGGCCTCTGGAAAAGTGAGCCCTGGCGGAGGAGACCGGCAGTATGGACATGAGTTAGGCGGGGCAGGCCCAACAGCGGGCAGGAACTGAAGGCCCGAGGAGCAGTGGGTCGCTGTGGCCAGAGCGGTGTGCACAGCGGGCAGAGTGGAAGACGCCGGGGCCGGATCCGTGGGCTGCGGCCAGATCACTCAGGGCCACGACGGTTACTGCGAGGAGGCCAATGTTTATTCTAAGGGCAACAGGAAGCTACGAGGTTAGATGTGGGTTTAGAAAAGCTCCCTCCCACCCCAGGCCACTTTGTGGCCAGTGGACTGGTGGGGAGCTAGGGACAGCCATCACATCCGGGCTGGTGCTGGCGCCCAGCGGGTGGCGGGGGCGGCTGGAGGGGGGCAGGCAGGTTGGAGACTTGGCAGGGACTCAGAGGGGTTGGCTCTGAGATCCCAGCGCAAATGTTACCTCCTCAAGGAAGCCTCCTGCCGTGAACTGAATTCATATGGAGTCCTCACCCCCCAGCACCTCAGAAAGTGACTGTATTTGGAGACAGGGTCTTTACAAAGGTGATCAAGTTCAAATGAGGTCACTGGGGTGGCCCTAATTCAATCTGACTCGTGTCTTTATAAGAAGAAGACATTCATTAGGACACAGACGCACAGCAGGAGGACTATGTGAGGACACAGGGAGCGGACAGCCATCTGCACGGCCAGGCGGGAGGCCGGAACACAGTCTCCCACAGAGCCTCCAGAAGGATCCACCCCTCCTGACCCCTGGCTCCGGGACTTCCGGCCTCCAGAACTGTGAGACACCCATGTCTGTTTAAGCCAGCCAGCCCGTGGTGTTCGTCATGCAGCCAGGCTGACTGATACACTTAGTGCCACAGTCAAGCAGCCTCCCCGACCTCACCCAGCCGTCACTGCTCCTGTTTACTGCCACCCACTCGTTGACTGTCTCCCCCAGCCAGGAGGTCAGTCCCATGAGGGCAGAGACTTCGTCTTGGTCATGGCGGCCAGCACAGCATCAGCGCTCTCTGGGCATGCAACAAAATTTGGGTGAATGAAGAAAAGTCAGAAGTTATTTCTGACAGAAATTGTGACGCGACCAAGTGAAGAATCTCTGTCTCCCACCCTTACTGGGTCTCTCACTGCTGTTGGCCCCAAGCTTCTCCAAGTCACCTCAGCCCTCTCAGGAGAAGTGTCCCCTCCATCCCTCATTCAGAGCAGACAATGGGAAACCCCATATGTTTCTGACGGTCCATGCACCTGACAGTCAGGAGGAAACCCTCATCCTTCCTGGGCTTGGCCCTCTGCTGGGCTCAGTGGCAGCAGGGACAGTAAAGTGGGGCACTGGGTGCCATCGCTGCCCACAAGAAGCTCCCAGTCTACGGAGAGTCCACCCTCCTCCCTTACGCCATGTGACACAGGCCTGGTCAATCACAGAAACTGGTCCAGAGTAGTTACACGACCCCCACCTGGGCCAATCAGCACATTCCTTGTCCCTGGTGTCCATGATTGATTCAAGGATGGGCATAATCATATCAGGATAATCAAAGCTAATCTAAGGATTTTGTTGGAACTACTGGAAAAGAAAAGCTCTTTCTCTTGGGGATGATTGGGAGCATGGGAACTCATCCTGTGTTGGCAGCTGTCTGCTCCCATATAGGAAGAATGTCTGAATGTGGAGCCAACTAGAGGAAAGCAGAGATAAGAGATAGAGAGATTCCATGTGTCATTGTTTGGGCTCCTAAATCCAGCCATGCCTGAAGCCATACTCTCAACCTTATGAGTAGATAATGCCCCCCCCCCAGGTTTATTTACTTATTTTGAGAAAGAGGTGAGAGGGGGAGGGGGAGAGGGAGGAAGAATTTCCAGCAGACTCCCCACTGAGTGCAGAGCCTGACACAGGGCTCTATCTCAGGACCCTGACCGAGATCATGACCTGAGCTGAAACCAAGAGTCAGATGCTCAACTGACTGAGCCACCCAGACACACCAGTGCTCCCCCCCTTTAAAATATAAGGCAGTTTGGGTTTAGTTTCAGTCATTAGCAACAAGTTTCCAATATAATACAGATCTCCCTCTACCTTCAAAAAAGCATGCATTTATTTCTCACCATTTCCCCTACACAAGAGCACCTTGATTATCTGTACCCCAGGTCATCCCATCAGAACATTCTGGAGACCATGGTGCCCACTCCCTCATGTGCTCCAGGGTTTCTCTGGCTTGGGTCTCAGGCAGAAGCCATCTCTACCACCCAAAACTCGAGGCCAGGCAATGTCAGAATCCTGGCCCTGGAGCAGCAAGGCATGGCAGGCCTCCACCCAGGCACTGGCCTCTTCTTCCAGTGTTTCCTTGTGGGTAGGCAGCACATTCTTATGTGGATGGGCCCACCCTAGACGAGGGGAACTATCCACATGTACCAGGGCCTCTGACTCTCTGGAACATCACTGCACTACACTACACAACAAACTGCCAAAAAATTTCCAACATCTGGCTCTGAGGCCCAAACATCCGCTTTTTCGTTTCCCCTTTGCTTGGTGCCATGTTACAGCGTTTATACTTCTTTTGCTTCCAGAAAGGAAATTCATGGGCTGGACATTTGCTGGTTTTGTCTGACCTGTGTCCTTCCGTCTCCTGGCAACAGCCCTCTTGTCGCTTTGAGGAGCGGCCCCGCCCCCATCTCTCCCAGACTGCAGGGTGGCGGGTGTGCTCTGGCCATGGCCAGATGGCGTATGCCAGCACCCTGGCCTCAGGCATCCCAGCACTGGGGCTGTCACCCAGGCTGGGTCAGCCGCACTCTTCCCTGGGACTTTATGCACAGGTGCTGGAAAGCAGTAGATTGGGTCACCGAATTTGAAAAGTGATGAATCTGGGGTCACTGCAGCCCTGTTCCCCACCATGTGGAGCACGAGTGAGGAAAGCCAGGTGGGGACAAGCAGAGATATAGGATGCATGGAATGTGCCAGTGGCATGGGGCTTTCAGCCTGCTCCAGAGTGTGGAGCGGACACATGAATGTTCCTCTCAGGTGAGAAGGCCCCCCCACACTAGAGGGCCAACCCCTGACATTGACATCCGTGAGTGCTAAGTATGTGCCAGGCACGATGTGAAGTGCTTTTTAGATCCTGTTTAATTCTTACCTCATGATCTAGGCACTAAAATTAACCCCATTTTCCAGATGAGGAAACTAAGGCACAAACAGGTCGAATCAGAGTTTCTCAAGAAGTGTCAAGGCACCAAAGAAAAGAGACAGCATATCGAGGTAAGTGGACAAGGTGGGTCATGGCCAAAGGCGACTGGTCCAGCACCTCAGGCTGCCCTGGGTCCTATGTGGCTGGCTCTGACCTGGGGACCCTGGTCCACTTGGAACCCATCTGCATGCCTCAGGCCACCCACCCGGCGTGGAACAGGACAAGCTGGGACTTGAAAGCTGGGGATCTCAGAGCCCAGCCCCTAATCTAACCACAGAGACATGGGAACTTCAGCTTGTTCCAAACCACCCAAGGGAAGCAGCACAGACAGCCTTAGACTCCGGTACACTCGAGGGCTGTGCCCTCTCCTACTGGGTGACCTTGGGCAGATCACTGTCCCTCTGTGGGCTCCAGCTTCCTCTCCTAAGGACACATCTGCAGCATGCATTAGCTGGTACCATCCAGATCCATCTCCCTGGTAGGGGCACAAAGCCCCAGACCCTGGGCTGTCAGCCAAAAGTGTGGGCTGAGCTCTGTTCTCAGAGAAATCCGGCTGGGGGCATGCATTTGAATGAAGGTAGATGTCCCTGGGAGATACTGTTGATCAAAGAACGCCACAGTTCCTCTGCCTTGCTGTCTCCATTCTTGGGGCTGAAAAGGCCTCCCCCATTCTCCGGGCCTTTCTGCCTCTCTGTGACCCCGCTCTGGCCATGGTGTTCACATAGACATCCACTAGTGGTTTCTGGGCAGGTTTTGCTTTTCTGGATAGAAAAGAACAAGATGTCCCCCTTCCTTCCACCTTCAATAGGGTTGTGGAGTCCACATGTCTGAAGGAACACTGTGAAGACTCATGAGAGCCACTTCCGGACTTCTAGGCGAGGAGAGGACAAGGAACCCCAATGTATTCAAACCACTGTTAGGTGAGTTCTCGGCAGCTTGCAGCTGAAAACATCCCTACCTGACAAACCCACCACTAGGGACAACTTCCTGGCTGCCCGCAGAATGGCACCCTTACACAGGGGTGGTGTGACGGCCTGCAATGCCGGGCCAGAGTGCATCACCTGCGGACGATGTGGCAAGAGGCGTCAGGGAAGCCGTACGATATCGTACCTGGAGCTTGAATCTAGATCCAGGTGGTGTGGTTTGCTAAGGACGGCTTTGCAAACTCTGGCTGCAATTTCAGAGGGAGGTAGCTAGGGGAGAAAAGGTTTGGTGACCCCCCTCCACCCCTGCCACCGACTCAAGGCTTCACGTGCTCTGGCAGGACCCCGACCAGTCGGGAGAATCCACACTCACGGGACACTGCCCACCCTCCTCGGGCTGTGCCCGGTGGTATCCTTTGCTGAAATGGGCTCCTTTGAGTTTGTCGCTGTAAACACAACCCGTGTAAGATTCGTGAAGCAGAATGCTCATGTCCTCTGACCTCTGAGGTCTGAGCTCTCCATCTATTCCATGCTTTTCTAGCATGTCCGCAATTATATTGGAGTGCCGTGTTAATACCCAATGTTAACACAGATGTGAAATTCAGATGTGTCTGCTCTACCCAGTTCCCTAACCCACCGTGAGGTGAGAATATCAAGACTTGTTCTGGGTCCCGTTGCTGGCTCCTCTACCCAGAGGCAAGTCCTCCTTGTCAGTGAAACACCGTATCTGGCTCTAAAGTCTGTTTCAGCCCGCAAATCCTAAGGTTCCATCCTTGCAGAAGGCTCTGTCTTGGAATAGATAACAGCAGGCCCGAGGCTCCCCCCAGCTCCTGGCAAGGCCTCCAGGTATGGGGCTGCTGGTCTATCCCTTCTCAGGTGCTGGAGGTCAGGCCCTGCGTCTTCTCTCTCCGGACCCAGATACAGCCTCCTCACCTGCCTCCTTGCCTCTAGTCGTCCCTCCTGCCTGATCTGTCCTCCACACACAGCCAGAGGGGTCTCCGTGAAGCTCAAATCTGATTACTTTTCTCCTTGCATAGCCCTTCTCTGTCTCCCTTGTTGTCTGGGGTAAAGGCCTCATGTTCAGCCTGGTACTCAGATCCTTCGCCACCCCCTGCCTGCCTTCCAGCTTCCGCGCCTGCCACTTTCCACTTCAAACCCTCCACCACAGTAAGCCTTTCTGTTCCCAGGAGGCACCAGGGCCCTTCACATCTCTAAGCCCTTGTATTCACTGCAACCTGCATTTGCAATGCCTGAGAAAACTCCTACTCATCCTTCAACACCCAGCTTGGATGATGGCATTCCCCCAAGAGATGTCCTGACCCCTAGCCAGTCATTTATGCCACCTCTGTGCTTGTCTACACTCTGCAACTTTGTTAGTGTCCTGTCTACAATCGGCTGAGACTGTCCATTGTTTGCTGGGGGTCTCCAGAGACGGAAGGCTCTCTAGGGGCCGGACTCCGTGAATAGTAACAATACCAACCACCACCACCATTACCATTGATGAGGGATCAATAATAATAATTTCTAATATTTATTAAGCATTTTCTCAGTGCTAAGCACTATTCTAGGTGCTTTATATGTATTAGCATTCTGAATCTTCAAATACCCTAGGAAGTGGATTAGTAATATTCTCCTCACCCCCATTTTACAGATGAGGAAACCGAAGCTCACAAAATGAGAATAACTTGCTGCAGGTCACACTCCCAGAGCTGTACTTCCAGCTACTGCACTCCACCGTCTGCCCATGTCTCACTGGATATTCACCCCCAGACCCAGAAGAACAGAACCCCACGCCTACTTTGTGAATGAGGAGATAGGGGCTCACAGACAGAAAGGGAAGGGCTCAAAGCCCCACAGGAACTATGTGGAAAAACTGGGATTCCAAAGCAGGTAAGGCTGGGCCTCCTGAGTCTGGGCCCCGACCTGCCACGCCCATCTCCGTGGGGGAGGGGTCCCAGGCCAGAGCGTGCAGCCGGTGCCTGGCCAGCTGCCCCTCTGTGAGCCCCGGGTATGATCCCTGAGAGAAAGGCCTCAGTTCCCACCAGCGGCCACCCACACACCTGCTTCCAAGACTAATGGAATCCGTGACCAGACGCCTCCCAGCTCCAGATGGTGCTCCATGCCCCACTGCCCCGCCTCTGCCTGTCTGCTTCCCTCCCTCCCCTGACCTGCTGACTTTGCCCCCCCTTCCCCAAGGTCAGGCTGGGCTGCTGCAATGGGGCAGAAGAAAGGAGGTGTCCCTCCGATGGCCTCATCTTTGTGTCCCCTCCACAGTGGCCTCCTTGGTGGCTGGCCAAATGAGCTGTCCTCCTACCCGCACCCCCCCCCAAGCCTTTTCATCTTTCTATTCCAGACAACAAAGCCACGGAGGCCAGGCGGAGGCCCCTCCTCCCTGCTCCAGCTGAGCTTGGTTTTTCAGTCTCCTTTTATGTGAGTTTGAGCCCAGCCCCTGCCCAGGGGTGTTGGCCCCAGGCTGCCTGCCCAGGTGTCCTGAAGGCCCAGCTGCCCCTCAGCGCAAAGCCAAGGCAGGCGCAGCAGGCAAATGGCCAAGACACCGGGGCTTCGAGAGAAGGTGGAGATGCCCACAAACCCCCAGTCGCCGGAGTCAAGGGCAGATCCTCCAGGAGCACCACTCCTCCTGAAGCAGGATCTGTCCACTGGACCACTCACTCAGGGCTCACCTTGTGCTGGAGTCCCACATGCCCACACCTTCCTCACCAAGACATGTTTGGGGTCAGTGTCCACCTGCATGCTCAAGCGTCCATTCATTCGCCATCTTGGGAGCCCGGGGCTGGGTGCTGGCCTAAAGAAATGCCACACGGGCTACCTTGGTGAGGGTGCAGAGTACCCCTAGCCACCCTAAAGCGTTCAGCAACCTGGAAAAGCCAACTTTGAGACAAGCCTGTTCTGCGTCTAACCAGGCTTTCTCCTGGGGCCTCCACCATCCAGGAAGGCTCCAGCTGCCACAGGTGGCCTGTTTTTAGAGACAAGAAAAGGGATTTGGGCCACAAGCTCCAGAGAGAGGCAAGGGTGGGGGGCGTGTGCTGTTTAACACACATGGGCTATGCTCCCTTTGATTCTCCTGGGAAGAGCTCAGTCCTAGAGTTCAATGGGGCTGGCTGTGGCTCCAGCAGGGGGTATGTGACCAAGGTTTTCACCAATCAGAATATCAAATTGTCTTGGCCCCCCTGATGCGTTCAGGGATGAACATGTGTCCAAGTTGGTTCAATAATTTCCAGTTCCAGGAATTCCATGGGATGGCTCAGATGAGAGATAATCTTTCTACCAGACTTGGAGCTTTGAAGAGGTAAGCACCCCAAAGGCTACCAGGGGAGAGAACTTGCCTGAGAGCAAAGCAGAGCTTCTATATTCTGGTGACATTGTTGAGTACCTGGATCCAGCCATGCCTGAAGCTGGCTGGCTACCCTTTCCAGGAGACACTTTTTTTTTTTTTTTAAAGATTTTATTTATTTATTTGACAGAGAGAGACACAGTGAGAGAGGGAACACAAGCAGGGGGAGTGGGAGAGGGAGAAGCAGGCTTCCCGTAGAGCAGGGAGCCCGATGCGGGGCTCGATCCCAGGACCCTGGGATCATGACCTGAGCCAAAGGCAGATGCTTAACGACTGAGCCACTCAGGCGCCCCGACACTTTTTTTTTTTTTAACCCAAGTCAGTTAGAGGCAGGCTTTCAGGCACTCATCTAAGAGAGATGGCTAATAGGAAGAAAGAGAAAACAGAGAAGAGAAAGGTGGAGAGTGACTGGGTATAATTTGGGAGAAGTAACAGTGAAACACCCTTGTTAGATGTGGGGTCAAATGACATCTCATGAATCGTGATGTCAAATATTTATATAAAACTATCATTGTAATGTAATCTGTACACTCCCCCCCAAATCGTCAGTAAGGTCTACTGGGCTCAAAAATATGTTGGGAAGAGAGACTATTTTGTGGGATTGGAAGAAGAATCTGAGTCTCTCCTCTGAGATGTGGTGTGACCAGCTGTGGGAAGTGAGAGCTTAGAGGCTATGATGGAACAGGTAATCCTTCCTGGCTGATTGGGCTGGGTCAGGTGAGCCCCTGGGTTTTGGCCTGAAGAGCGCTTTGATTCCTGGAATACTTCTATATGATCCGGGACTCCCACAGCTGGGGCCCCTCTGTACCCAGCACATTTGTGTCCTAACATGCGTGTTCATGACCTGCTCCCCTCAGGCCCCAGAAGAGCTTCTGAGGGCAATGGACATGTCTGTGCCGTTCCTGGTTACCCGAGGTATCCACTTTCTCCATAGAAGCTGCATAGGAAATGTGGAACTAATAAGTGAGCATCCCTAATTGCTTAAATATTTACTCTCCATTCTCTTAGGTTCCTGGCCAGGATGGTGCATTGAGGTGCTAGGGGAGGTTCCCTTTCCATGTACAAATACATAGAAGTACTGGATAAAATATAACCATTTAAAAGAATACAGAGCCAAGGGGCGGGTGGGTGGCTCAGTCGGTTAAGCATCTGCCTTCGGCTCAGGTCATGATCCCAGGGGTTCTGGGATCCAGCCCCGTTTCAGGCTCCCTGCTCAGTGGGGAGCCTGCTACTCCCTCTCCTGCTCCCCCTGTTTGTGCTCTCTTCTCTTACTCTCTTGCTTTCTCTCAAATAAATAAATAAAATCTAAAAAAAAAAAAAAAGAAAAGAATGCAGAGGCAAGGTTAAGAACAAGAAGGAGAGATCAGATCTCCAGCTTGCATGGGATGCAGGAGATGGACCTGAAATGCCCACTGAGGGGTCAGGACTGGGGTTCTAATGCCCAATGGGGATAGCTACTGAAGACCTCGCCTGGTAAGTTCATACAAGGAGGCTCCTGCATGAAGCTAGGGGCCCTCCAGAGGCTGTCTCATCCAGGAGCAGAGGTGAGAAGAACCCTACTTACTAGTCTTGGGATGGTGTCCCCAGATATGGAGCTCAATTTCTCCTGACCTATGTAGTTATGAAACTTCAAGCCAAGAAATGAAATTAGAAACTGGCCCAGAATCAGGCCCTGGTGGGACAGCTCTGGACGGAACTCCACAACCTTGGTGATGGGTGGATTCTCCACGATCGTGGCTTCTGCCAAAGAGGGGCTCACTGTCAACGATCACAATAACACAGCGAGAACTTGTCATTATCACAGAAAGAGCAGAGATAAAACACCAGGGAAAGCTCAGATGTTGTGGTAATCCCAAAGAGACTGGAAAAGAAGGATGTTTAAATGAGAAAGAGATGAAGGACTGGAGAGAACCCACAACACAAGGACTGAGCAGGATGGGAAAGAACGTGCAGTTTTGAAAAAGAAATACATGGAAGTCCGGGAAATGAGCAAGGGAGTCATTGAGATATCATTTTAGGGCGACAGTAGAGAAGAGGAGAGGACATTTATTTGGAGTTGGGAGACTCACCAGGTGCTGAAACAGCCAAGTGTTGGTTAGGAGACCACCCCCATGGCTCTATTTCCTCATTTGAAAAAAGGTGGCATAATACCAGCCTCCGAGTGTTATGAGAAGATCAGAGTGGGTCAGTTTCTGTGATAGCCCTGGAAAAGTGTGAGTCGGGTCATGCATGCTAACCAAATGGCTTCAAGCTGTCATTCGCAGGAGGGATTTCAGTCATTGGCACTGTTTTCCCCCCAGAGATACATCTGCAGAACACCTGGAGGCACTCGAGAGTGACGTCACTTAAGAGGGGGTGCTGGGGCTCTAGTCTTTGGGGTATGGTGCTCCTTCCATCCCGCAGTACCTCTACACTGCAGGCCCAATGGGTCTGGCCACGGAGGGAGGAGGTTCAGCTTAACAAGCAGGGGACATCTGAGTTCCAGCCCCCCTGCAGGCTCTGAAAGGTCCTGCAGATGTTTGGGGCGAGGAGTGGCGGGTGGGGGGAGTCCAGGAGGACTTGTGCACGTTGCCAGGCTGGCCTGGGGTATGTGGCTTTGGGCTGTTCGGGCTGGGGTTTGGATCCTAGCTTGTCACTTGCTGTGCTACACCGGCAAGTTGCTTCCTCTCTGGCCTTGGTTTTCTCATCTGTGAAGTGCAGATGATAATTAATACCTTTCTCTTAGGCCAGTTGAGGGGCTCATTTGAACGAATGTGGGGAAAGTGTCCGGCATCACGCCTGGTACACAGGTGATGCTCAATGCATGTCCTTGGCTGTTCTATGCCCTCCCCTTTCCTTTCTTCAAAGGAGAGCTTTGGGGCAAGTCAGCCCACAGACTCTGCCCATAGAAAGCAGGCAGAGGAGAGGTCTGCCTCCTGGGGCTGGGCATGGGTTAGGGGGCATGTTTGTATAGGGACAGGAAAACAAGCAGCAGAGCCATCTCCTAATCACCATGACCTCCACACCATGTCACTCACTCTCTGGCCCTCAGTTTTCTCCTTCACTGGACATCTCCTTGGAGACTCTGCAATAACTGCTCCTCTTTTTCCTCACCAAGAGAACCCAATTGTGTTTGGGGCATCAATATGGCCAGATCCTCCTGCAGACAGGAGCAGCCACGTGACATGGTTCTGGCCCAGGAGATGGAGGTGCAAATTCTGATGGGGTGTAGGGGTATCTCTCCCTGAACACAAAGGCAAAGCTCACTTGAAGAAAGTCTTCCCCACCCTCAACCTTGCCCGTCCTCCTCATGCCTGAACAGCAGACATGAGGCCTGCAGCTACGGCAGCCATCCTGTAACTGCACATCAACAGCAAAGGGTAAGGTGGAAAGAAAGAAAGAACACAGGCTGTAGGGGCAGGCCGACCTTACTTTTCCACTTCCTGGCTGGGTGGCCTCGGGTGCGTTACTTCACTTCTCAGAGCCTCACTTCCCACCGTCTGTAAAATGGGGATAACACCTCTACCTCACACAGTTCTTGTGAGGATTAAATGGTGCCATGGATACAAATCCACCTTTTCTACTGTAAAGGGCTATCCAGATGTTCGTGGTGGCTCTTACATCATGCTGTAGAGGACAGTTCCTTTAGGGTAAAACAAAGAAGAGACCCTTTATTTCTCCTCTTGGAGAAAGTTCCAAGGCTGGCCCCAGGCCCCAAGCCAGCCAGTCCAGCTCTTGAGCCGATCAGCTATGCAAACAGGAAGTGGCTATCCAAACATTTGGAGATGCAGGAGGCTGGCCCAGAATGGGCCTCTTCAGGGAGGCCTCTCTCCACATTGTGCCTTCTCATCTCCCAGCTGTGAGCACCTCCAAAGTCAAGGAGGGAGGTCCCTCCTCTAAGGGGCTAGGTTCAAAGCCTCCCCTTCTGGTTGCCCTGCCCACCAGCCTGGGCCAGGCCACCTTCCTTGCCAGCTGGAGGATGGCAACAGCCCCTCTGTGGGCTCCCCACTGTCTCTTGCTCTTCCCTCTCCTCCCACCTCTTCGTCACAACTGTAGCCAGGGCAATTTTTTTTGAAATGCAAATCAGTTCTTGTCACCCTCTTGCTGAAAACTTCCGTGTTCTCTTTGAGGGAAAGATTGAAGTTCCTGACACAAGCCTCCAGGCCCTGGATGGCCTGGCCTCTGCCTGTCTCTCCAGTTTTCCTCCTCCAGCCACCCTGGCCTCCTTTTAGTTTCTGGAATGTGCCAAGGTCCCTGCTGTCTCAGGGCTTTGCCTGTAGTGTTCCCATTTTCTAGAACACTCTCACCTTCTCCCCTCCTCCTCTCCCTGGCCCATCTTGCCACCTAACATCCTATTCTCAGCTCTCAGCTCAAGTGTCACCTCAGGGGCTGGCTGAGGCTGCAGCAAGCATGACGAAGGTCCTGCTCTGCCCCCCACAACATTCATCCAGCCTGTTGCCATTCATCTAGTCACATGCTGATCTCACACGCTCAGTAGGGGCTACTCAGGGCAGGGATTTCAGGTTGCCTTGTTCCCAGTCACATCCCTGCTACCTGGCATGGCCTCTGTATGGAGCCGGTGCCCAGTAAATGTGGAAGTCAGGCAGGCGGGCGTGCCTTATGATTCAAAACGGAGATGGAGCTGTTTACTGAGCACCTACTGTGTGCCAGGTGGGACCTCGCGACCTCTTCACAGCTGCCCTGGCAGGCAGGGGCTAGAGTCCCTGTGTTCTACCAAAAGGGGAAACAGAAGCTCCAAGAGGGGCAGTGACTTGCCCAAGGTCACACATCTGGCAGAGGCCCTGCTAGGATTTGACACTCCGTTCCATGCCCAGCTTCCTGCCTGGTGGAGCTAGCACCAGGATCATTGCACATCTGTTTCCTCATCTGTAGAATGGGGATGAGGCGGGACCTCCCTCACAGGGCTGTTGTGAGGATTCAGTCGGTTAGGCCACTCAAGTGCTTCGCTCAGAGCCTGGCACACATTAAGCGCTCAGCGACTGTGAGCTATCATCATCATGGTTATCGTGTTGGTCAAAGAAATAAAAATAACTACATCCTCTTGGGACCCACGAAAGGGCAAGTGGAAGGTCTTCGTGGGTGAAAAGGCACATGAATGGATGGGTGGGTGGAGAGCAAGCGAATGAGGGAATGAAAGACCGAAGACATGGAAGAACAGCCGAGCCAACGGAGGGATCCACGCACGAACGTGTGAACGAACAGAGGAACACGAGAACGAGCGTGTGTGCGGGGAGGATGCACCCCTGAGGTCTGGGAGACCCGGGGCTGACTTGGGGCGCCCGGGCCGCGTCCTCCCCGGCCCCCCCCCCCCCCCCGCTCACCTGTAGCGCCGCAGCTCGCCCTCCAGCCGCCGCACCCAGCGCTGCAGGCCGGGCACCTGTCGCGCCAGCGCCTCGAGCTCGCGCACGCGGCCCAGGCTGCGCAGCACCGCCTCCCGGGCCTCCTCGGCGCGCCGCCGCACCTCGGCCTGGCCCTGGCGCAGCCGCCCCGCGCGGGCCTCGGCCGCCGCCAGAGCGCCCCGCGCCTGCCGCAGCTCCCGCGCCGCCGCCTCGGGCCCGCCGCGCCCCGCCTCCTGCGCGCCCGCCTGGCTCTTCCAGAGGCCGACCTGCGGGGACAGGGCCGCGGGGACCGCGGTGAGCGCCTCGCGTCGGCCACCCGCCACGACCGCGGCCACCGTGCCCGCGCCGCCCCGGAGCTCCCACGGTGCACGTTTATTGCGCGCACTGCCTACCGCTCCCAGGCTGGTCGGAGCTCGTTTAATCCTCGCAACAGCCCAAATGAGGCAGGAGCTCTAATGATCCCCTTTTTCCTGGGTGAGGGAAACTGAGCCACAATGCCCAGTATTCTCATCTTTGCGCGGTACCAATAATTCCCGAACTTCACGACTCTTCTCTTCTCTTCTTCAGTGACTCCTCCGATCCCTAGACTCGAGGAACAATCTAAGCGTCTCAAAAAGGCGTTTCTGGACCTCCCCGGTGTCTGGTCAATAGACTCTTCTTGAGGGTGGGGTTTTTGTCTGTCTTGTTTACCGCTGTGTCCCCGACGCCTTAACCAGGTCTGGCACACAGTAGGTGCTCAACAAATACCTGGAGAATGAATGATCCTGGGGCCATCTTGCTGCGCACCATGGGAGTCATTTCCCACTCTCACCCTTTGCTTCTCTTGTGCTCCTAGGCCGCCAGCCCTTGCCTGTCCATAGCTATGACCCCTGAAAGCGGCACCCTGCCACTCCTCCGCATACGCAGCCTGCCCTCTGCCGCTCAGGGCTGGTGCCTGGGCAATGGGCAGAGTGGGGCTAATGCAAGTCAGCTCCCTCCTGACCTATGGTCCCTTGGGGCAGAGGCTCTTCTCGTCCTCCTCCCACCCCCATCGCCCTTGGCTGAGCACAGTGCTTGAGCACAGTGCTTAAGTATTTGTTGACTGAATCCCAGATGCTTGGGCTCTGTCCATATCTCACTCAGTGCTTCCTTCTCAACATCCTAGAGGTCTGGCCCTGAAGGGGTTCGGTGGCCAGTGACTGCCTGATGAACAGTGACACTATCTATTTAGCACCTGGCCCTGGCCCTGAGGGAGGCCCATAAATACTTGCTGAATGACCCAATGAGCCGCCAGTCTACCCATTAGGCAGGAAGCTCCTTAAGGGTGGGGACAGGGCCTTTTTCACCCTTTATCTCCTAACCCACCCTTCAGCCCCAGCCTGGCACCACAGAGAGCTCAAGACGCCTGCTGAATGACTCAATGTTCCTGGGAGAGTTCAACTACTGGGTTAGAAGAGGCAAGACGACATAGTGAGGGTGGGGGGACGGCGTGGGATGGTGATCCGGGTGGGACAGGGGTTTTAGAGGTGGAATGGGGGGGGCTGGAGTGGGTTGAATGCAATGGGGGTGGGATTGGGGGAGGACGCAAGTGAGCCGAAGTGGGGTGGGGCTGCCCTCTCTTCCCCCTTCCACTTCCTCAGCGGGTCCCGGGCTGCTCAAACGACCCCCGCCCGCCTCCAGTCACGGCCGCCCCCCTCCCTCCGCGCCGGCGCGCACCTGCAGCGCTAGACAGCGCGCGTCACTGCTCTGCAGCGCGGCACGCAGGTCCTCCACCAGCTCGCGCAGGCTGCTGTTCTCCTCCTCCAACCGCGCCAGGCGCTCGCCGTCCCGGCCGCCGTCGGAGCCGCCGTCCGGGGCGGGCGTGCGGGGCGGCCGGCGGCGGCGGCGCGGGCGGCGCAGGCGGATCTGCGTCTCGATGTGCTCGCTTAGAGCGCCGCGGGGCAGCCGGGGCCCTGCGCGGGTGCCGAAGTAGCCGCAGAGGCGCGCGTGGAACTGGCGGAAGGTGAGCTCGGGCGGCTCCGCGCGCAGCGCCAGGCGCGCCTCCTCTTCGGCATCCGCGTCCCCGTCGGTGGCCACCCCAGCGGCCGTGTCGCCAGCGGTCGCATCCCCCGGGTTCGTGTCTCGGGCGGCCGCATCCCCGGAGGCCTCCCCGGCGGCGGCCCCCTCGGCGCGCAGCCCCAGCACGGCGCAGAGAGCGCGGAAGTCAGCGCGGGGCAGGCGGCCGGCGCCGCGGCAGTCCAGGTGGTGGAAGACCTCTTGCAGGTACTGGTCCATGCCGGTGGCCAGCACCACGATCTCGTTCTCCACGCCGCGGTCCAGCCCGTAGTGGTGCGCCAGGGCGCTCAGCAGCCACTGGGTGCGCCGCGCGGGTCGCCGGTACGGGTCACCCGCCGCGCCCTCCATGCCGGCCTCCCGGCCCGGGCCGCTCAGCTGCATCGCTGCGGCGCGTCGCTCCTCCGGTCCCTCCGCCCCGCCACTTCCAGGGGCGGCCCCAGAGTTCTTCGAAAGGAGGGGCTTAGCGGTCGCGGTCTGGTTGGAGCGGCGCGGAGGGCCGTGTCCAGCAGCTGCGCTGGCTTGGCCGGGCGTCTGTGTTTACTCGGGTTGGTTAGGAGAAGGCTGGGGTAGGGGGCCCGGTCCCTCTCTGTCTCGCTTCTATGGGTGACCCCAGCTCTCTTCTCTCCTCATCACTCCAGGGGCTTCCCTGGCGTCTCCTTTTCCCTTCCCACTCCCGGCTCTGTCGGCTTTCAACTCCCGCACCCTCTGTCCCACCCACCCTGCGCTGAGAGTTGGCCCCAGGACCGGCGCGAGGCGTGGGCGCAGGATAGGAAGCCGGGGAGAGAGGGAGGGTAGCTGCCTGGTCTTGTTGCTGGGGGTGTGTCCCCCAAGCCCACGTGTCATTCCACCCCTTCTCCGGAAAGTCTTCCGAGGGTAGCCCCGGGAGCTGGCTCTAACCGCCCTCTCCCCGCGCAGGTGCGGAGAAGCCCCTCTCCCCCTATATTCAGATACAGGGTTCCCAAACTCTTGTCACTCCACCATAGATGGTGCAGAGGCTCACGTGGTAACTAGAGCAGAGAGACAGGGTTGGAGAAGTAAGTGGACTGCTTTAGGGACATCCCGCTGGTAAGAAGTCGATCTGAGATGGACCCTCGTTCTCTAAGCTCTGTGTGTGTTTGGTGGGGAGTTGGGAGGCGGGGATAGAAAAGTGGTTTCCAGCCCTTACCTTTGTGCCTGTGGATGCTGAGTTGGCGATGCGATCTGAGTTCTGTCTCTTGAGCTGGGGTTATGCTAACAGGGTTGTTTGGCCAACATTTTCTCTGGTGCCTTACAACACATTTCTGGAAGGTGAAAGAAAAACTACTCCGGGGAGACCTAGGCTGTTTTTCCTTTCTCTTTCACAAAATGTCATGCACCTGTTACCTGCACTGGGACCCGATATCCAGCCACGTTGTAACAAGAGGCAGACTTTATTCAACTGTCCTTGGCTGTAAGATGGGCAGAATCTGGCTTTCTGTATAACTCTAGGAATTTAAATGCTAAATCCTGGAATTTGAGGGGCGCCTGGGTGGCTCAGTTGGTTAAGCGACTGCCTTCGGCTCAGGTCATGATCCTGGAGTCCCTGAATAGAGTCCCGCATCTGGCTCCCTGCTTGGTAGGGAGTCTGCTTCGCCCTCTGACCCTATCCCCTCTCATGTGCTCTCTCTCTCAAATAAATAAATAAAATCTTTTAAAAAAATAAATAAATCCTGGAATTTGAAAAGGTACTAAAATTCTGTCTCCTGGGCTGCAGTATCCCAGAATCAGCACTTTTTTGGGGCAAATCCCTACTCATTCTTGAAGATTTAGCCCAAGGGATGGAGTTAGATGCTTCTCGCCAGCCATTTTGGACATTTTTTTTTTTTAATTATAAAAGTAATAGCATTTTGACAAAAAGTTTTACATCAATTCCACTTCTTGGGCACCTAGGTGCCTCAGTCATTAAGCGTCTGCCTTCGGCTCAGGTCATGATCCCAGGGTCCTGGGATCAAGTCCCACATCGGGCTTCCTGCTGGGTGGGAAGCCTGCTTCTCCCTCTCCCACTCCCCCTGCTTGTGTTCCTGCTCTCGCTATCTCTGTCTCTGTCAAATAAATAAAATCTTTAAAAACAAAACAAAACAAAATAAATTCCACTTCTTGGCTCCTGCCTTAGAAAAAGACACGTGCACAGGATGTTCACTGTATCATTGTTTATAATATTGAGAAACTAGAGACAACCTGGTACTCATCAGTGCATCAGCCATGATGAATCACCAAAAAGGGATGAGTGAAATAAGCAAGTTGCAGCCTCTTATGTACAATGTTATGATTTCCATAACAATAACAACAAAGCCACACCAAAGGGTATTAAATATTATGTAACTGCATAGAAAAAGATGGAAGTAGGGGCGCCTGGGTGGCTCAGTTGGTTAAGCCTCTGCCTTTGGCTCAGGTCATGATCTCGGGCTTCTGGGATCAAGTCTCACGTGGGGCTCCTTGCTCAGCGGGAAGTCTGCTTCTCCCTCTTCCCCCCCATGTTCTCTCTCAAATAAATAAATAAAATCTTTAAAAAATCAAAATAGAAAAAGATGGAAGGAGTCAAAACTGATGCAGTGGTTATTTCTGGGGATCAAAGATGTTTAGCCTTTGCTGTAACATTTCCCTTTTTGCCAAGACGATTTCTTTCTTTCTTTTGGGGAGGACACACCTTATTTACCATTTACATACCATAAAATTCACCTACTGAAGGGTGTGAATAAGTGCTTTTATTTTTATTTTTTTTAAAAATTTTATTTATTTAACAGAGAGACACAGCGAGAGAGGGAACACAGCAGGGGGAGTGGGAGAGGGAGAAGCAGGCTTCCCACCGAAAATAAATGCTTTTAGTACATTTATAGAGTCTAGAGACATCACAGTCTAACTTCATAACATTCTCATCACTCATTTCCCAAAACCCTTGTACTGGTTAGTTCATTTTCTCCTTCACCTTCCACCCCCCCTTCTGCGCTAGGCAACCACTACTTCCTGTTTCTATAGATTTGTCTATTCTGGACATTTCATATAAATGGAATCATACCATATGTGACTGATTCCTTTTTGAAAACATGAACAGTCATGTTTTCAAGGTTCACCCACACTGTAGCATGTATCAGTACATCCTTCCTTTTTATGGTGGAGTAATACTCCATTGTGTGGCTAGACCATGTTTTTTGCTTCTCTGTTCATCAGTTGATGGACATTTGGGTTGTTCCCACCTTTTGGCTGTTCTAAATAGCACTGCTGTGAACATTCATGTGCAAGTTTTTGTGTGGACATGTTTTCATTTGTCTTGTGTGTAGACCCAGGAGTGAGGCCTCTGTTTGGATGGTGGTTTTATGTTTAATTTGTGAGGAACTGCCAAACTGTTTTTCATGATGGCTGTACCATTTACCTTCCTAACAGCCATGTTTTCGTGTGTTTCCTGATGGGTTAAGCAACACGGATGTTCTCAGTCCTCCATCTCACCTCACAAGGCCCCAGGCCTTCCTCAGCGAGTTCCTGTCGTCTTCCATTCTTCTCTTTGTTCACACCCCGCATGCAGTCTCTCATGCTCTACCCTCACAACACATCCTGAATCCCACTGCCTCGCCCCACTCCACGGGTACCACACGGAGCCAGCCCCCCAGCATCTCTCACCTGTATTCTTGCAGCAGGCTCCCCCGAGAACTGCCTGTGGACTCCTACAGTCTGTTCTCCAAGCCAGAGGATCCCCTCCTCTCTGCTCAGGAACCCCTAATTCTTTCCCTCTCACAGGGACTTAAGGCAAAGTGCTCACATTCCCCCCAGCCTCCCCCTCATCTCCTGCCATTGCCCTTCCCCCCTGACCTCCTTGCTGTTCTTCTAACTCACTTCAGGGTATTTGCAGCTACTTCCCCCAGATGTTTACCTCCTCAGGCCATCACCTCCTCAGTGAGGCCTTTGGTGACCCCGAAGGCACTCTGCACCTCTGACAGACTCGTCTGTCTCCCTGTGTTAAACTGTCAGTCAGCCATGAGGTAGCAAAACACATCTGTTCCCCTGGAACCGTGTCACTGAAAGGAGACAAACAGCCTCTAACTTCCTTCTCAGCTGCCTCCCTGGTTGCCTTCGGGAATGGTGGTGTGTATGGCCTCCCACATATTTTCTTTGCCTATAGATGATATGTATACTTTTTATTTGTATTATTTATTATGTATATCTTTTCAAGGCAGCTATTATGCCGCGTTGCTGTTGATCTGTGGGCCTCGCATGAGGTCTGAGCTTCAGAAGGCCAGGAACCTGGTGTCCCTCGTCCCAGCAGGGGCCTGGCACACCGTAGGCGCTGATAATGTTGGTTTGTATGAACACACATTTGTAGCAGTATATGGGAAGACTGCCTCTGGTCGGGGTTTGGTGGGATTTGGTGTCCTTTGATACAGCGTTGTTGGAATCAGGGAGACTCCAGACGTTGGTAGTTGATTGGATCCCCAGCTGGACCGCAGAAGCTTTTAGGCCTGGAGCCCCATGGCCTGTGGGTCTGCCTTGTACATTTAGGACAGGACTCTGGAACTTGGCTCTGGACCCCTGAGTTGCATCTGTGCAGTTGAATCTGATTTGATTTCATGTTAGTGCTGAGAGCAGGCAATGAAGCAAGACTGCTGTGCTCCCCACTGCCCCGGGCCCTGCAGCTGGGGGCTGCTTTTGGCGAGGGAATCCTTTGAACAGTAACGTTCCTGGGCCAGTCAACATTGAAAAGAAAGCCTTTAAATATCAGGCCATGGAGCGTTGCCTGGGCCTCCGCCCCCCGCAGCTCAGCGGGGGCCAGGGAAGTCAGGGTTGATAATGGTGCACTGTCAGGCCTGTCTGTCTGCGGGGCAGTGTTACCAGGCGCCTCTGAAATCATTCCGGTCAGACCCACAAGGTTTTTGTTGAAGGTTTGAAGTGAGCAAACTCAGAGGTCTCCTGGGCTCTTTTGTCTGAGCTGGGGGATGGGTGTGTGTCTGCGTGGGGGAGCACAGAGGCCCTGGCAAAGAGATGATTTTCTGAAGTCAGTTCACTATTGTTTGAGCCATTTCAAAAAGTATATTGTTTAAAGTGTCTTTAAACATCCCAGAAAAAAATGCTTGTTAGCACAAATCACCACCAGAAGAGGGGATCCCAGATACTCCTGATGTATTTGTTTTGAGGCATTTTCCATGCATTTGGGCACGAAAGAACTTCCCTGGGGTGGTTGTTACACGACTACATACATCTGTCAAAGCACTTAAAAAGGGTGAATTTTACAGGATGTGAACTGTAGCTCATTAAACTCAACATAAAGAAACACGGTTGAAATGTTGTTGCTGGGATCTTTGCACATCGACCATACTTCCTAAACAGCCTTGCTATCATTAATATTCCTTTGCAAATGTTCTCGAACACCACTCATGTTCCATCTCACGACTGAGCTGTGAGGTTCTCCATCGTCGTCCCCCAGGGATGCTCATCAAGGTGGTTTGCAGTTTTTCTCCATTAAAACACCGTGAACTGTTGACTCTGTGTCCTGAGTGATTTACTACAGCGCCAGGGAGTTGGAACATTTTATGTGCTCTTGATATTGTCAAACTGTTTTTCAGAAAGCTTTTGTCATTCTGTGCAGCCCTCTGGAGTGTCTGGGAATGTCTGTGAGCCATCATTTTTAGTGACAAAGCTTTTATATTTTCAGGAGTCTTGGTTAGTAGATTTGCTTAGTGTTCAGACACCAAGTTTTAC